GTATCACTTTGTGGTACTTTATACAACACTGGTTACAAGAAATGTTAAAAAAAAAACCAAAAGTCCAACAATGTTGCACAAAACCTGTTATAATAATTACATTTTAAAAATGACATCATCCATGTTACTAAATAAGGTTTGTGTCGTTTGAGAAACTTGTTAAAAATGAAAGAGTTTGTATCAAACACATAAATCCTGCAGTGATGATAACAATCTGACAGAAAAGACCAGGTTTACAGCTGGAGTGTTGTGTAAAAACCCTGGGTGATGCTGTGTGTGTCTGTATCTGATGATGTCAGTGAATCAAAGCTGTCCTCCTCTGCTTGAAGCTGAAGAAAATCACTGCTTAGAAGTTTGATGTGATTGTGTTGCAGCTCGCTCGCATCCAGACAGACAGCGTGGCTGAGAAGTTGAAGGAGCTCTACCCTGAGGTGCACCTAGAGATAGGTGAGAGTTTGATTTGGTGAATAAATCCTGCTCTGTTGGTAAGGTCTGTCAGAGAAACACCTGTTCAATACTCAGGTTGCATCTGACAGATTTAATCATGTTTGTTCTGTAAGTGTCGATGGTCCAAAACAGAAAAGTCCAAAGTATAGATTAGATTGCTCCTCCCACTCCTCGTTCCTCACCTGAACCACGACTCTTCTTGTCTTTCAGTTGCCATGTCAACAACAGGAGATAAGATTCTGGACACGGCTTTATCCAAGGTGAGGTTTGATGGTTGTGGTGTGTTCTGTCTCTGATACACCACTGACAAATGTTTTTCATTTGCTCCATGAAGCTGCCGGAAAGAATAAAAACCATGTTTCTGTTTTCTCCAGATTGGTGAGAAGAGTTTGTTCACCAAAGAGTTGGAGAACGCTCTGGAGAGGAACGAGTGAGTGCAGCTCTGACCACACCCACTTCTCTGACCACACCTACTTCTCTGCTCAGACCACACCCACTTCTCTGACCACACCCACTTCCCTGACCACACCTACTTCTCTGCTCAGACCACACCCACTTCTCTGACCACACCCACTTCTCTGCTCAGACCACACCCACTTCTCTGACCACACCCACTTCTCTGCTCAGACCACACCCACTTCTGACCACACCCACTTCTCTGCTTAGACCACACCCACTTCTGACCACACCCTTTTCTCTGCTCAGACCACACCCTCTTCTGACCACACCCACTTCTCTGCTCAGACCACACTCACTTCTGACCACAACCACTTCTCTGAACACAACCACTTCTGACCCCTCCCACTTCTCTGACCGCACCCACTTCTCTGACCGCACCCACTTCTCTGACCGCACCCACTTCTCTGACCGCACCCACTGCTCTGACCACACCCACTTCTCTGTTCAGACCACACCCACTTCTCTGACCACTCCCACTTCTCTGACCACTCCCACTTCTCTGACCACTCCCACTTCTCTGACCGCACCCACTTCTCAGATCGCACCCACTTCTCTGACCACACCCACTTCTCTGCTCAGACCACTCCCACTTCTCTAACCGCACCCATTTCTCAGACCGCACCCACATCTCAGACCACACCCACTTCTCTGCTCAGACCAAACACCAAGAAGGAGGACATGTTTGGGTTTTAAACATCATCTGGGGGAGTTTTCATTGACAAACAGTTTGTTTCAGTCAGTTTACAGGAGACAAAAAGACAGAAGATCAGTGGGCCTCATTCAAGAACTGTTTCCACAGATTTCTTCTTAAGTTGTGCGTACGAGTCATTTAGGAGAATTTGTGGCATTGACCAATTTTCTCGTATTCTAAGATTTTTTTCAGATACGAACAAAATTCACGAGTGGTCTGTGGCACCGGCACCGGAATGGGGGGACCAGGGGGGCCACTGGCCCCCCTACTTTACGGCCCTGCCCATCAGTTGGTCCCATGGACATTTACAGGCTGCACCCAGCAGCGCCAATGACGGATGTCTCTGTGTCTAGATACAGACAGAGGCACAGACAGAACCGACAGCATTAAGATCAGGACTAAATCTGTTTATAATCAGGCCTAAATCTGTTTATAATCAGGCCTAAATCTGTTTATAATCAGGATTAAATCTGTTTATAATCAGGCCTAAATCTGTTTATAATCAGGATTAAATCTGTTTATAATCAGGACTAAATCTGTTTATAATCAGGACTAAATCTGTTTATAATCAGGACTAAATCTGTTTATAA